AATTTTTTGTTATAATTCTATGTACAATGTATATAAATTATCTTATTGTATCGTTAATATGTGGAAAAGGATATCTTGCGTAAATCGGGTGGAACGTCTAGCTTGCGGAAATTTTTTACATTAACCAACATAAAATTTAACAACAGAATAGACCTTTAAAACCAACATAAACTCCCGTTCTTCGACCATCGAACAAAAAAAATTGAAAATATCGCTTCCCTCGATTCTCACCTATTTGAAATTAGACATTCTTAAACGCTTGCAAATAAGCTGTACTATTTGTTCTCTTGATTTTATAGTAACCGTAGTAGTGACAATATTTAGGAAAGGCTCAACCTATCGTGGCCAGCTGTGGCCACCTGCATAGCATCTGCTTTGTAAAAGAGATTATAATAGAGTACAACTTTTAAACATCTAGTAGCGGTTTACATTATTTTGAGAAAGAAATTTTGGCTCTTTATTTGTATTGGCTATCTTTAGCTCCGTAAGAATGAAATATGTATTTTCCCATTCCTTATGCGGTTTATATGCTTGCGTATAACTTCGCAGGAAAAATGCTGGTATATTTCAGATCCTAATAATTTGGTCTCTAACTGCGAAAACCATAAAAAAACTACCGAGAGTCAATCAATCGGTCTTATGAACAAATATTGATATCAGTTGCTCCTAGAAAGCAGAAGTTTATGTTTTCTGCCATCTCTTTCAGCTTGTGGCCACCCAACGTCAGTTTTTCAAAAGTGGAGGAACATTATGTTTGGACACACGACGTGAGACTCTGCTAACTTTGAAGAAGATGCTTGAAGAGCATGGCGATGAGATTAAAGCGGCCATCTACAGTGATCTACGCAGAGTAGGTTTCTAAGCCCATTGCGCTAATCCTTTCCAAAAACTCTTTGTAGGATGCTACAAGAGAACTGGCTTCTGCCAAAAGAGAAGTTGACGAATTACTGGCTCATTTGGAAGAGTGGAATGCACCAAAAAAGGTAGTATTTCAAATTTCGGAATATAGTCACTAAGTTCTCATCTTTAGGTAGAGACTCCATCGGACTTTACTGGTGAAGATGATGTCTTTAGTATACCGGAGCCACTTGGAGTAGTGCTTGTGATTGCTCCATGGAATTTCCCGCTGATCACCGCTATGCCTTTTGCTTCAGCTCTGGCTGGGGGCAAGTTAGCCTAAG